TAAGTAATATACATATGATTAAGATCTATCGATTTCCAATTTTATTTAACTCAACACAAAGTAACCCCAAAACAGGGACAGTGATTTCTTTGTTTCACAGAAAACCACAGAATTACAACATATTAAGGTTGACTAATAAATTCAGGCCGGGCGCTGGGAACTCCCGGAAAGGTAGACAACTAATAACAAATTTTTTTATCGTTATGTTAAATCACCGAAAAAAAAATACAAAACTGCACAGAAATTGGTAAAAAGGCTCATCACGTTAAATCACAGAATTTGTCTTAACCACATACAGAATTTAGTCTTAACCACATACAGAATTTAGTCTTAACCACATACCAGAATTTAGTCTTAACCACCACAGAAAATCACTGCCCCTGCCCCCAAAAATAGATAATACAAAAAAGGAAGCTATATATACATATTACGTATTACGAATGACAATTTTTAATTCATATTCTAATTTTTAATTCATATTAGTTACACTAGACAATTAATATCAATACTTTAAGTAAAGACGTTCTGGATCTATCCTGGATTTTCATGGGGCTCCGTCATGCCCGTGCCTGGTACTATGTTTTAATAGGGCACATGCTAGCACTTGCAGAGCTCTAATTTTCATTGACCCATTTCCCATTCTACGTTTAAATAAAAAAAAAATTAAAATTTTTTTCGTATAAATATAAAATGCAAAAAGTGAATTAATGAAAAGTTGATTAATTTACTCAAGAATTTCGGGAAGTATTTTTTATTCAGAACAACTTAAGGCATAAATATTAATTGACTTAGCGTTAGTAAAAATATAACTATGATTATCGATAAGGAAAGTAATTCGACCAAATAAAAATTATTTATATGCAAATGACCTAATTGGCCTTAATGACCTGGTCATTTACCATCCCTGCGATGACAAAATATGGCTAATTTATGTGACCATTTCAAAATCCAAAGCAAATCATTATGTCAATATAGCTCACATTTTTAATATCGTCATTTAATTTGGCTCATAGAAACAACTTCCTTATATGAATATATTGTAATTTGTATACCCAATTAAAGTTATTACTTTAACCAACGTTGTTTACATACAAGTTTTCATTTGCCAGGCTGATACGATAATAACCAGATAAACTCTACTTGTGAAAAGATATCATGCATGATTTTGACAACTTGCATAAAAAGATTTACGAACTAATGCATTAGAGCTTCCACATTATATAATGCAGATTCTCTTCAGATATTCAAGCCGAAAATTTTTTATTCAAAGAAGGATAAGATTACGTTATAAATCATATTATTATTTCATTATGATCAAATAATTACAGCGATAAAAAAAAACTCTTCACTCGATAAATTTTTACGATTTCATTAACGTTATCAGATAACGATAAATTTTTCGTCAATCCCTGACTAAAGAAAGATTTTGAGGAGATCTTTGTACGAGTTTTCCTTGCACATTCCCTTTTTTGGTTGATTCAATTATCGGCATATCGACATATTCGCGAGGCTTATCAATTGTTCCTTATTTTTTTGTATTGCTCTATTAGGAAAACGTGAGTAGGGCGTGATTAAAAGGCATATATCATTTTATTGTATATTAATAATACACATCTCCGGATATTTATAAATTTTTGTTTGTTGTTCGAAAAGAAAATTAAACCAAAATAACTTTAAAATAAAAAATGATTTTAAATTTCAATACGAACATTTACAATTCTTTCTTTACTATTCGGATTTTGATCTTCTTCATCCTCATTTTTAAAGGATGTCAAGCATCACGAGAGTTTCATTTACAACAAGTTTTTTATCAAAACATGATTTACAATCATGAATTATTACGTGGAAGATTCCTTCACATAACTGGTTGTCCACCTTTGTCTTTGCATTTCTTTTATATGATCCAATGGTTTATCGTCTCACCTTCAAAAAAATTCCCTATTTTTTTGATTATATGAATAGATCTCCATATTGACCCATATTATCTTGAATCAAGCGATCCAACATCTTTTTGTCATCGTTATTCGCCGAACCCAGTACTAAACATTGCTGGAAAATTTGGTATACTATCGGCCCCATGTGATTCACCTTACCCCTTAACGAATTCTACTTTTGAGTTTATGCGGGCGAACTTTAGCGACATAGACTTTATCGTATATACTGGTGATTCTGTTAGGCATGATAAAGATAAAGCTTTTAAACGAACTGAAGAACAAGTTTTAGATGCTCATAAAACAGTTGTGGAATATGTTCGAAAGTATTTTGATTTATCAAGAATTAAATTTGTAAGTTTTTAAATTTGTAAGTTTTTTTTTTTTAAAAAAAAGAAATGTTTTACCCTATATCACTATTTGATTAACGTTTTCCTTTTTTTAAATAAGATCCCAACACTTGGAAATAATGGCGAATTTGGTACGTTTAACGTTAATTTCCGTTTCATCATCATCGTCTTGCAGCGGTTCGTTGTTAAAATCTTCTTTGTTGTATAGAGCATAATCGATTATCCCAAGGTCCAAACGCAGTGTTGGGAAATTTATCTCAAATCTGGGCTCCTTTAAATCTGAACTTAACTTCTGACTTTATAAAAGGAGGATACTTCCGTCAAGATATTCATTCCAAATTATCTGTACTTAGTCTCAATTCCTTGTATTTTTACAAAAAGAACAAAATAGCACCTGATTGTAATGTAACAGATGGTCCCGGTGCATTGCAATTGGAATGGTTTGAACGCGAATTAAAGAGTGCACGCCATGAAGGACGAAAGATTTATATTTCACAACATGTTTCCCCACTGGATGACTCTAGTATGTGAACGTAAAATTTCGAAAATTTTAAATTTGATGCATATGATTAATATTTTCATTTTATTTTGTGAAATATAGATGTGGTAGCTTATTCACCAGCGTGCTTTGATGCATATGTACAGCTAATTGGCAAATATTCGGATATCATTTGTGGGCACTTCACAGGTATTTGTTTCTTTATTAAAATTTTCATTCATATGCATTTTTATTCATAATCTATCATGTATATATCTTAGGACACACGGATAAAGATACGGTATCGTTCGTTACTAGTACCGGTAAAGACGAGGATGCATATTCAATATTTGTCCTGAACGAAACACACGCTTCAAATATAACTTCAGTAGAAGATGTTGTATTGGTTTTAACAAATGCTCCATCAGTAAAACCAAGTAAGTTCAAAATACGAATAACATTATAAACCTTAATGGTTTATGGAATCGCCACAATTTCCGATATATTAAAAGAATGACTAGGGCGATATACAGTCAACTAGGGATGTTAATCGTCTTGTTTGACTTTATTCACTTAATTGGTTTATGATAAATATAAAAAAGTTGAATCGTCGATTAACATCTCTATAGCCATTTATATCAATTCCTGCACAGCCAAACTGGATTCAAGTTCAGAATCTTCTGTATGAGTTTAACTGTGTTACAACAATATGTTTTCTACATAATGTTAGACAATTTAATTCATATCTGGATAAGATTTGTCAGAATATTTAGATTTTGGAATTTTTCAAAACATGTAAACCCGATTTTAACCAATCTTTTTTTTTAATTTTTTATAGCTCACAATCCAGCAATAAGACTATATGAATATTCAACTTTAACTCGGAATATCGGTACTTTAAAAGATTACACACAATATTTTGTAAATCTAACAGAAGCAAATGAGATTGGTGAAGCTATATGGAGAATTGAATATGTTGCTAGTGAAACTTATGGAATGAGTTCTTTGAAAACAAAAGAGTGGACCAGAGTTTTAAACAAATTTAGAGTACCTGATAGTTACGCCTGGAAATTATATGTTAAACATATTACAGTTAGTGGTCCTTAAAAAAAATAGTTATTAAGTAATATAATATAAATGAACATTTTAAGTATAATAATAAATGATGGTATACCATTATATCCCTCTATATTTATTTACATAATGTAACCCATAATTCGGCAGGCATCATTACGTTTCTAAAAAAAACAATTCATCTGAATATTACATAGCGGTTTGTAAATTTTGCCTAAAAATCGTGCTGCAAAATTTACAAAATTTTGCAAACCGCAATAAAGGGAATTCATTTGATTACAACTTCATAATTCGTAGTTTCAAGTTGGAATTCTTTATTTCATTCTTTATTTCGCTTGATTATCCTTGTACTCGCTTCTAAGTAACATGTTGACATCAAGCAAAAGATATATCAAACACAATTTGCACATCTTCCTCATGTTTATCTCTCAGAACGAAATTATAAAATGCTAACATATATTCATTTTGTTTTGTTTTCTGTTAGTCCATATGCTTTAAAGTTTACTATTCTTTAGCTATAAAACATAATCTACACACTTAACCGGTATCGGTATAAACATGTAAATATAATATATCCCGTAACATTAATAATTTATTGTAAGAGAAGGGTTTGTGTATAGTGATTTGGCAATTCGAAAGAGTGTGCATTTGAGTTTAGAATCGAATAGTGTCCTTTATTAATAATAAAATGCTGTAGACATACGTATTTGTTACTACATATTGCCCATATATAAAATATTTACTACATAGTAAGAACACACAGAACAACATAATTCTACTACGTACAAATATCCGGAGATGTGTATTATTAATATACAATAAAATGATATATGCCTTTTAATCACGCCCTACTCACGTTTTCC